TCTGGGACCCTTCTGTCCTCAGCTGACGTCCTATCTCCTGAGCCAAACCAGCTAGGGTAATTCAGTATTTCTTAAATATGATATTTTATACATATCTCTTCTCAGAGACATGGAACAAGTTTATTTTCAACTCTGAAGTTTTATCGCAGATTTCTTCCTATATGTATATTTATTCTTTTGGTTTGGGGTTCTGTTCACCTGAAAACTGGGTTATTTCTTCTAAAATGTCACTGTCTTTTTGGTCTGGGAAAAGCACTATTCTGGACCAAATGTGATCTGAAATCGTGCCATTTGTACTGTCACTGCCTTATGCTCTGCAGCCTCAGAATGTTAAGTATCAGTTGGTAGTCGGAAGGGAATGTGTTTGCTCCGCTCTTTGCTTGTCAGTGGGTGCTGATTTGGCAGGGGAGCGCAGGAAGCCTCGGAGAAGAACAGACCCTACGGACGGAAGAATAAAACTCCTCCTGTTCATTCAACAAAAAATGATTGTCTACTATGCGCCAGGCACTGCTCTCAGAGCCTGGGGAACAGCAGCGAACAAAGCAGACCAGTCCCTGTCCTGGGCAGCTTTCCTCTCCCAGGGGTGAGAGACAGCAAGAGAGATGGAGGCGGCTGGTGGCGGTTACAGATTGCACTCTGAACTCTCTTGTTCTGGATTGTCATCAACAACAAGGTGACGGTTTAGCTGGAACAGCCGGGGCGTCATCTTGCGCATACCTGGGAGAGGAGTGGTCCCAGTAGAGAAAACAGGGAGTACAGAGACGCCAGGGTAGGAATGTGCCTGACCATTGGGGGACCAGCCAAGAGGCCTGAGCGGCTGGAGCCCAGGAAGGGAAGGGGGGACAGGCCTGGAGTGAGTCTGGGAGGTAAGGAGAGGCGGGGCAGCTTCTACAGGGCTTCCCTCTATTTTATTGATTTTTCGCAGAGAGGAAGGGAGAGAGAGAGAGAGAGCTAGAAACGTCGATGAGAGAGAAACATTGACCAGCTGCCTCTTGCACACCCCCTACTGGGGATGTGCCCGCAACCAACGTACTTGCCCCTGACTGGAATCGAACCTGGGACCTTTCAGTCCGCAGACCGACGCTCTACCACTGAGCCAAACCGGTTTCGGCTACAGGGCTTCCCTCTTACCAGAGACTTAAGCAGAGGAGGGATGCGATCTGACTTTAAAGGGTCCCTGGCTGCTGGGTTGGGAATAGACTGCAGGCGGTGAGGGCTGAAGCAGGAGGTCGGGGAAGAGGTGATGGTGACTCAGAGGGTGAAAGTGGTGGGAAGAGGTCGATTCTGGATGTTTTGAAGGTGGATTTGAAAGGTTTCGTTGACCTATTGGATGGGAGGTATGAGTCACGCAAGCTTTCAAAGATTTTGGCTGAAGCAACTGAGAAGGCCAGGAACAAGTTTTGTAGACAAGGTTAGGGCTCAGTTTGGGGCATATAAAATTTAGTGTATTGTTTAGAGATTCCGGCTTTATTTTTACCATGGTCAAAATAATTTTTAAAAAATTATTTTTATTGATTTTAGAGAGGAAGGGAGAGGGACAGAGAGAGATAGAAACATCAACGATGAGAGAGAATCATTGATCAGCTGCCTCCTGCACACCTCCTACTGGGGAATGAGCCCGCAACCCAGGCATGTGCCCTTGGCCGGAATCGAACCCTGGGTCCCTCAGTCCACAGGCCGACTGAGCAAAACTGGCTATGGCCAAAATAATTCTTTAAATAGCTTTAAAAAGTCTTTTATTGGTCCACATGAAAGTTAATTAAGACTTTTGTTTGTCTTAATTATTTATACTCAAATCCTTCACTCTAAACCTTTAAAAAATATATCTTATTTTATTGATTTCAGAGAGGAAGGGAGAGGGAGAGAGAGATAGAAACATCAATGATAAGAGAGAATCATTGATTGGCTACCTCCTGTACCCCTTCTCCGCCACTGGTAATCGAGCCTGCAACCCAGCATATAGTACCCTGACTGGGAATGGAACCTCTTGGTTCCTAGGTCAACGCTTAACCTCTGAGCCATACCCGGCTGGGTATCATCACTCTAAATCTATATGGGTAGGTCATTTGAGGAATTGAGCATTTCCTTTCTCTTACGTGAATGTAAAATGTTATTCTCTCTGCCCCTCCCCCCCTTCTTTTTTCCAGAGAGAGAGGAAGGGAGAGGGATAGAGAGAGATGAGAAACATCGGTTGGCTGCCTCCTACATGCCCCCTACTAGGGATCAAGCCCACAGCCTGGGCATGTGCCCTGACTGGGAACGGAACTGGTGACCTCTTGGTACATGGGTCAACACTCAACCTTTCAGCCATATCGGCTGGGTTCTTCTTTTTTTAAACATAGAAAAATTTTATTTCATTCAGTTCTTTATTCAGGGTGTTCAAAAAATTTCCTTATGAAAGAAAAGCAGTATTTCCTTTGCTTTGGCCCTGATAGACAAATTATGTTTATCTTAAAGTGAGAAAAATGTATGGGGAAGAGGCAGCAAATTACTTTTCTTTCCTCTTTCTGGTGATGGACCATGTTTCTGATAGTTAGTAGAATGTTATTGATCTTAAGGGTTTCTGAGGTAAAACATTTCTCCATTAGGCAGGAGCTGTTGTTTAAAAATATTCTCCTTTTTTTTGGCCTTGAGAAAACTTTCCTTTTTCTGCCATCCCCATTTCCCCATAGGTAGGGATTGCTTGATTCTCTTGGGTAAAGATAGTGATTATCTAGAAACTTTAAGTGAAGAGTTATTGTGTGTATGACTTTAAAAAAAATATATATATTTTATTGATTTTTTTACAGGGAGGAAGGGAGAAGGATAGAGAGTTAGAAACATCGATGAGAGAGAGACATCGATCAGCTGCCCCTTGTACACTCCCCACTGGGGATGTAACTGCAACCAAAGTACATGCCCTTGACTGGAATTGAACCTGGGACCTTCAGTCCGCTGATGCTCTATCCACTGAGCCAAACCAGCTAGGGCTGTATATGACTTTTTGTCTAAAGATTGAACTCAGTTTAGTACTTATAAAGAATTTCAAAGTGTTTTTATGATTCCTCCAGCTGAGCTACTTTTGTTTTAACCTTGTGCCCTTGCCTTTAAAGTTAATGTTGCTTAATGCTCACTTTAAAAAGTTCCTGTTCTCCTGCTGTAGATTTATGATGGTAACTATGCCCTTTTAACATTAACTGGTCCTTCACAGCTGAGATATATATTACATTATACTGTAACCACAATTCTAGATTAGTGGGATTTCAAAAGTGGGCTTAAAACAAAGGAGAAATGTATAATCAACAAGAGCTACTGTTTAAGGAATTTTGTTATTTTTTAAATAAATTACTTTGTTACCTTTTAGCAATATAAAATTTTTTCCCCCTAATGATGGTGATACTGTTTATCCTCTGATTATTTAAATATTCGTAAAACTTAACATCGTTTTGGTTAAGAACCTTATATAAGGATAGTACAGGATATATATAATTCATAAACATATAATATCTATTAAATTTTTACACTGTTCATAGAGCCTTTCTTGGTCATTTGGTGGAGAAACAGGTGGTCTTGTTAACATTCATGGTGTAGAAGCCAGCTGCTTTTATATTATAATTATTATTAGCAAACATATTTCTAAAAGTAGTAGGTATATTAACAAGTCTAATAGCTGAATATTGTAACAAACAAACATGGATCTCTGCTCTCAGTAATCTTGTAAGGTAAAGAACATGAGAGTGGAGACTTGGACATGAATTTGAAGAGACTGTCTATTATGTTAGTGGAGGAGCAGGTATGTGAAAATAACATGACCTATCTCTGGACTTGGTTCAGCCCCTTTGTAGTGGAGAATATTGTGGGCATGGAGCTGAGCTCTGTGGGCTGGAGTTGCTTCTTCTGTTTGCTCAGGACTCTTACAGAGTTGCTAAGAATCCTATATAATAAATTGACCAAATGGTACAATAACTGGTTGCTGTGACGCACACTGACCACCAGGGGGCAGACACTCAAAGCAGGAGCTGTTTCCTGGTGGTCAGTGCGCTCCCATAGGAGCGCTGCTCAGCCAGAAGCCGGCTGATGGTTGGTGAGCTGCAGCAGAGGTGGTGGGAGCCTCTGCTGCCTCTTCAGCAGCGCTAAGGACCCCTCGGGGGATGTCTGACTGCTGGGGTAGGCCCGCCCCCCACCCCCAGTGCACAAATGTCATGCACCGGGCCTCTAGTCATGAGATCAGGACCTTATAAGTTGCCCAGTACTGCGGATAGTGGTGTTTTACTTACACAGGTGGAGAAACAGGAGGTGGAGGGTGGTGGTTCTTTGAGTCTCCCAGAAATTGCCACCATCACTTCCATTTCCTTGTCGGCTCCATGGAAGGAGGCAGGAATCCTGGTCTGTGGCTTAGTATCTGCATTTGTTCTGATGGCAGAAGTCAATCTTGGAATTGTCAATATACACAGAAACGATCTATTTCTTTTAAAAAAATATATTTTTAATGATTTCAGAGAGGAAGGAAGAAGGAGAAAGAAATAGAAATGTCAATGATGAGAGAGAATCATTGATCAGCTGTCTCATGCACACTCCTACGGGAGACTGAGCCTGAAACCCAGGCATGTACCCTTGACACAGGAATCAAACCCAGGACCCTTGGATCTGCAAGTGGATGCTCTATCCACTGAGCCAAACCAGCTAGGGCTAGAAATGATGGATTTCTTCACAGTCTGACTCATTTTCTCTGTCAGGCCTGTTCTTGGGGGTACGTTCAGGAACAAATCCACTTGTCTGTTTACAACAAGTCCTAGTGTTGTGCTCGCTTCGGCAGCACATACACTAAAATTGGAACGATACAGAGGAGGTCAGCATGGCCCCTGTGCAAGGATGACACACAAATTCGTGAAGCGTTCCATATTAAAAAAAAAAAAAAAGTCCCAGTGTTCCTTTAAGCTTGTAACAGATCCAGGTAGTGTTTGAAGCCTGTCTTTCCTTTGATTGAGGTCTCCTTCTCCCCTCTAGGATCTGCACCGCCAATGGATACCGAGGGGTTTGGTGAGCTCCTTCAGCAAGCCGAACAGCTTGCTGCCGAGACCGAGGGCATCTCCGAGCTTCCCCATGTGGAACGGAACCTGCAGGAGATCCAGCAGGCTGGCGAGCGCCTGCGCTCCCGCACCCTCACACGCACGTCCCAGGAGACGGCAGATGTCAAGGCGTGAGTCCTGGTGGGGAAACAGTGTTGGCGCTGGGTGGCTGGGGGCAGGATCCATTTCTTCTTTCCTGTCTTGAGTTTGGATTCAGTCTGTAAATGGCACGCAAGCCAGATTCTTGGGAACTCGGAGTGATTTTGTAAACAGGCCAGTACCCTCGCTTTTTCTCCTTGCCCGGGCGTTCCAGCCTGTCTTTCTGACCAAGCTGTGAGCCCTCTCACAAGCAGAAATGATCAGGATGGGAAGGGGCGAAGAGTTTGTCATGCAGAAACCGGTCACAGCAGTTCCTGCCCGGGTTCGCTGACGGTTGGGTCATAATGGCTCCTGTAAGTGTATTATTAGTCAGTGTGGGCCACGCAGGTGAGTGTTCCTGCCTGCGCCAGTGAGCACTCAGAGATGAGCAGTGTTTTTAAGGGCACTTGGAGGAAATTGACGGACAGTCAGTGGCGAGAAGCCATCCAAGCGAGGAGTGGTTCTGTCTGCTGTTGTCAGTGACCCCGTGGGCTGCCTCTGAGGGACCTGGCAATGCAGTGTCTGCCAGGGGATTATACAGGAAAGAGGGTGAATGTCAGGGAGTGCAGCTGCAGAAAAGTGCTGACTGATGGCCGGCCAGTGGCTGCTGCTGCTGCACAACATTGATTGGGCTGTTGATTCCACAGACATGTGTTTGGGGTCCTCACTGTGCTAGGCCTGGGACTTCTCTGGGGCTCCTACCATTAGTTAGCCATGGTCCTTGTCTTCAAGGAGCTTATAATTTTGGGAAGCAGAAAAAAATCTTGGTGCTTTCCATAAGAAGCATGATTTAGCCGGGCCAGCATGGCTCAGTGATTGAGCATCCACCCATGAACCAGGAGGTCATGGTTTGATTCCCTTCCCAGTCAGGGCACATACCTGGGTTGCAGGCTCGATCCCCAGTATGGGACTTGCAGGAGGCAGCCTATCAATAAATCTCTCTCCTCAATATTTCTGTATCTCTCTCCCTTTCCTTTCCTCTCTGAAATCAATATATATATATATATATATATATATATATATATATATATATATATTTATATATATATATTTTTTTTTTTTAAAGAAGTGTGATATATTGACTACTTAAGATTTTGCTTATCCTCACAATGAATATTAGGACTGTTGTAGCTGAGGCTCAGAGAGGGCAAGTAATTCTCAGATCACACAGCTGGTGAGTGATGAGCCAGGGTTCAAACCCAGACAGGCTGATCAGAGCACATGCGAAGGGGGAGGGGTGCTGTTATTTGTGACCGTGGTGGGTCTGGAAAGGCAGAGATTCTGTGTGGGAGATGTGGGAAACTGTCGCTTTCTGAATTGAACTTGAGAAAGACCTAAGAGCTCATGTTAACACCAAAGGCCCTGTGCACAAAATGTGTGCAAGAGCAAGCCTTCGCAGCCCCTTTGTCCACAAGGTCATCCGGAAGGTCCTTCCACTCTTCGGCCGTTGGGTTGATTTGCATATTATGCTTTTATTATTATAGATGGGTACATTGTTTTGGGTACGTAATAAATGTCCCAGGAATGAATATAAGGGCTACAGCTAATCTTGAGAGCTGAAAGTGTTGGCTGCTCTTCTAAGTCAGTAAGTAGGTTGTAGAAATTGTTCTGTAGATCTCCCCAAAATTTATTTTTAAAAACAATACCAGTTAGTTTCGGTTCTGTTGGTATTGGTAAAGTAAGTTGGAGGAGCCCTGGCAGGGATTTTGAACTATCCACCTTGCAGCTATTATACCTGCAAACAACTGCTCCCCGACTGTTCACCAGCACCCCAGCCAGCATTAGACATTGCTGCTAACCAGGCTCCTTACTGCTGCTCCCATTGCCTGTGGTTCCCCCGGTCCTGAGTGTGCAGGCTCTGTGCTCGTGTACAAGGATACTGCTGGAGCCAGATGATCATCCTGCCAGCTGAGTTGCTATAGTTATAATTTAATTGCATCAGCCTTACAGTCTATTAAGAGCAAAGACGGAAAATGTTTTCTTGGTAACAATATCAGCCATGCTCTCTTGTAAATTTCCATTCTTCCTCATTGCTGTCTACCTTAAATTCATTATTTTAGTGCGGAGGAAGTTAGAATATTGAAAGAATGGGTAAAGGTGGGGCAGGTGCTTAAAAAGAAACCAAAGGGCCGTTGATTGTATTTTTCCCTCTTCTTGCCAGAGACATAAATTGTGCTGTGAATATTTTAGTGCAGGAGAGGAGAGAACTGAATAAGAAATTTTTTCTTAACTGGAATTTTGAAAGAAAACTCTGTTTTACAGATTTTAATTAAAATTAGGTTGTAGGTTTAAGATTGAATTGTTGGGTGCTGAATTCATTAGTTTAAACACACTTTGTTGGATTTTTATTTTATTTTAGAGAACAGATTTGATAGATTTTTGTTTCTGTTTAATATTTTTAAGTTGTTAATTTTTTTCACACGTGAAAAATATGTATGACATATATAAAGGTGTTCTTCAAGGGTGGGCAGGCTATGACCCACGAGCCAAAGCCAGTGGCTGCCTGTTCAAGTTGTATCGGAGCACAGCCACGCGTGTTCATTCATGTACTGTCCATGCTGCTTTGCGCTGCAGTTGCTGTAAATAATAAAACGGATGAGAAGGTCACCTGTCTCCTGATCTCCTTTCCTGGAAACTGTTTGGAGCCATCTGGCCTGTTATTTTATTGATATACTCTCATGTTATTCTTGACAAGTCCCTTACTCTTGATTCAGGCACAATCAGAACTTTCTCTCTAGCTATCAAATGCAGTGTTGGTCTATTATTTCAGGTGATAGATCTTTCTGGAAAGGTATAAACCAACCAGATAAGAGTGTCTAGGCAGTGTATAGCGAGTTTTGGATAAAAAATACTCTTTAGTATTTTGTGAAACTTACTAAGGTCTTAATTCTACTTTTCCTCCCTGCGCTGTATCCTTACATAGGTCCGTTCTCCTGGGGTCTCGGGGACTTGACATATCCCACATCTCCCAGCGTTTGGAGAGCCTGAGTGCGGCCACCACCTTCGAGCCTCTTGAGCCTGTGAAGGACACAGACATTCAGGTAAGGGCTGCCGGGTGCCTGGACCCGGGCAGGCGGGACCCTGAGTGTGCAAGCCAGGCTGAAGGCCCTGGCCCTTTGTTGACCGGCTGATTTAGGAATCCCCAATTTCTTTTTTAATTCTCTTCTTCCTTGGATGTTCAGAGAACAGGACACCCGGCTTTGGAGGTTACTGGGGAACACTGGGTTATTTTCCGAGTGCTCTGCTAGGCCGAATCTAAGGAAGCAGTTCCGACCTGCACTTGGTAATTGTGAGATTATTGTAATTGTGAGAACAGATTTCTCTTCCTTCTTTGGGCTTAATCCAAGGCACAGACATTAGTTTTATGTCTTGTTTTCTTTGCTACATCTCAAGTCATTTTACTGTTTGTCTTCCACATTTCTGCATCTTGCTTGCATTGGTTGGCAAAGAGCTGGGGAAACTTAGAGCATTATTTGCTAAAGCCTACTCATCAATTTCTAGGAAGTATTTGGCTACATTAGTGGTACCAGGAAATTGTCTAATAGAGCACTCTACTCTCATTTAACCTAACATGTCACTGGCACAGTTGATTGCTATTTTAACCTAATCAGAAATTGATGTGAGTGTGTGTGTGTGTGTGTGTGTGTGTGTGTGTGTGTGAAACATTGTTAAAGAAAAAACTTGTGTGATCCATTTAGTTTTGAGGCATTGGAATTTCATTTGTGTTAGAGTAAAGGGATAGTGAGGGACCATTTTTCTTACTGATTTACCTTTGAATTGAAAGGACCCAGGCAAATCCTAGTACAAATGGTACTAATTGTGTTATTGTTTGGGCTCAATTTGGATTAATACTCTCTACCCGCTACCCTTTCCAAGAACTGTTTTTATCCACCTAATGGCCACAATTCTGTATTTAGTCCTATTCAGAAACCTAAAACACTGTATTTTGAGTTGAGAGTTGAGTAACTGTAGATATTCTTTATTTTTCCTGTTACTGATATGGTCCTAGAGTATGGAAATCTAGTTTTTTCTAGTACTAACCTGTTAATAGTTAGTACATTTGCCTGTTAATAGTTATCTTCTTATTTCCATGTAATCTCAAAATGCCATGGGGCCCTAGCTAGTTTGACTCAGTGGATAGATTATTGGTCTGAAGACCAGAGGGTCCCAGCTTCAAGGTACAAGGGTATGTACCTTGGTTGCAGGCTGTTCCTCAGCCAGGGCCCCCTGGTCAGGGTGCATGCAGGAGCCAGCCAACCAGTGTTTCTTTCACATCGATGTTTCTCTCTGTCTTTCCCTCTCCCACTCTCTCTCTCTTAAAAAAAAGAAAAAATCAATGGAAAAAATATCCTTGGATTAGGATTAATAAAACCCCCCACAAAAAACAAAAACAAAACAAAAATGCTGTGGATACATACTTGTCACTTAACTTTAAAAAAATTTTTTTTTAGTTTTAGCTGTTCTCCTCTCCTCCTTGTATTTCAACTGCTTGCTACTCTCTAAACAAATACTTATAACAGGGTTGAAGTGTGTGAATGGGATAAGTGCTCAAATAGTTAGGATACTCACCATATATTTTGGGGAGTAACCCAGTAGTTTGGAAAGACATGGCACTTGATGTCAGATAGGTTGTTGTTTGTTTGTTTTTTATGTTTAAAATACCAAGGAAGTGTGTATTTTTTTAAAAGTGAACTGCTTTTTAAGTTTTCTTTGTTTACAGTCCATATTTGGAATACTCGGCCACATTTACTGATGTACTTCACCAATCCTCACTGATGTAGTACTCTATTTTTTGCTTTGAGGTGTGAATGATGGGCTCCTGAATGCATTGAGTCATAAGAGTCATTTATTCTGACCTTCTACTTAATGCATGAATAGCCCCCTTCAACCTCCCGTCAGATGGCTTCCCACACTGCACGCTTGGTCACATTAGTGTTTTTTGATTTGGAATGAGCATAGCTAAGAGTTTTGGTCTTACCATTGGGAAATCTTGGAATCTTGAGAGGAAGGTTGCCTCCATTCAAAATTTTACCTCTTAGTTGGGCTTTTCTGGAATACCTTCAGAAATGCAAAATGTCAATTCAAAATAACTTTAGATTACTTGGGAATTGAGTATCTAGACCTGAAGTAAAGACTTGCTCGTTTTCAAATAAGTCCTCTATTGACTTTATCTTCTTGCCCGCAAAGGCTTTAAAGGAGAAAATTTTAACTTTAAAAGGGCTGACACTTGGCTTGATCTGAGACGGCTCTAGTTATTGGTAGAGACTGGAAGCTTTAAGTTACATTGTGTGGCTCAGCTGACCTAGGTTCCAACTTCTGGTCTACACAGTAGTGTCATGTCCGTGTCTGATTTCTTATTTATAAGACAAAGGTAAGAACCAAGCCAGCTTTTGCCCTTGGTATTGAGTGGTCTTCCTTTTCATTCTTCTCATAATGTTTTTGTTATCCAAGAAGAGTTAAGTTGGAAATTTTCAGTTTTTTTGTTTTCAGAAAATCCAGACATATTTTTTTGATGGACATTTTTTCTTCTTTATTTTAACAGTTTTATTGATATATAATTCACACACCATAAATCTGATGGATTTTGGTGTATGAACACTTATTTTCTAGCCAATGTGTTTTTTGAGATGGGAGTACACCTTAATCTCTTGGGCCGAATACCACACAGAGTGAATTAATAAATGCATAAGAGGAAATGCTACAGGATCCTTTATACTAGTAGATGCTACCCAAACTGGTAGATGTAGTTGTTGGCATTACTTATAAACTTGCATCTATATATATATGGTAGTCCTTTTCTGTTTGGTAAATACTAATATTTCCTTCCGTTTCTAATGGAGCTTGAAATTGATGCAGGTCTTTTTGTTGTTACTTTTTTGTTTGTCATAATCAGTGATGTGATTGGCATGCACTGAGAATACATTTTAAAAACATTGTTCTTGCCAGCAAAAGTAACATATTTTTAAAAAAACAAATATAGTACGACTGATGCTAGTAGAATTTAAAAAAATGTTTATTGATTTGATTTTTGGGAAATGGTCATAAAGAAGGCCTACACATTTGCATAATAGAGGTGGAAGAGCAAGAACTAGTAACAGGACATGTTACCAACACGACTATCCTGCTGTATTAAAGTGACGTCAAGGTGCTTGCAAGCACAAGTCCTCTCACCGAGGCCCACTTGCTCACTTCCGTCTGTGGAGAGAAATATTGAGGGCAGATTGCACATCTTTATTATGATCTGAACAGACCTAATGTACCATGGCTGACGTGTACTCTATAGTAATAAAGTGCAGATTTACACAGTTCAGTTATAGTCTTGGCTTTCCCACTAGATTTCGTATATATTTCAAGGCTATGCAGAAGTAGCCCGAGTTAGTCATAAAAAACGGGAGATGCCATTTATCAGCATTAGACCATAATATTTTCTAATGACACTAGATCAAATAGAATATTATTGCTAAACGCATTGCATTAGATTCCTAGGCCTGCCACAACAAATTACCACAAACTTAGTGGCCTAAACATTAGAAATTTACCTTTCACAATTTTGGAGGCCAGGGTTTGAAATTGGCAGCAACATGCTCCTCTCCGAAGACTAGGGGAGAATCCTTCTTCTGGCCCCGGTAGCTCCTGGCATCCCAGGTTTGTGGCAGCGTAACTCCATTCTCTGCCCTTATCTTCCCAGGCTTTTTCTCGTGTTGGCAAATCTACGTCTTTTGTAAGGGCACTGCTGGTCACTGGCTTAGGGCCTACCCTAAATCCAGGATGATGATGTGTTTGAGAGATTTCTGTAGAGACATTTTCCAGCTAGAAACAGTCAGCTTTGTATTAAATACCTAGTTTTTAGGGTAAGTATAAGTAAGATTAAGTTGTGGTCCTTTTTGAAGGCAGGAAGAGCTAATTTGGGTGTTTGTGTATTCAGCCAAACAGTGGCCTAATCTTTTCTCTTTTCTTTTATACATTCGGCCTTTGCTTACTCCACTTTCGTGAAGTAGCACCTTTGTAATGCCCAAGCCCTGACTTCAGTCCAACACTCCACGGCTTTTCTTAGATGCCACCCCTTGAATGGTCTTCTTAGCGCTCTTCCCCATGAAGTCCAAAGTTAATGTGTTGGCTTTACTGCTTAAGAAAAAACAAAACTTTCTGAATGTTCCCTCACAAAGTAAACAGAAATTTAGAATATATTGTTGGAATTGATTTAGCAGCCAATTCAAATTCTAGATTTTAGCCTGTTCTTTAGAAAAAAGAGTCCTGAACCAAGTGTCTTCCTAATGTCTGAATTTCCAGATGAAAATCTGTCCTGTGTGAGGAAAGAGAAAATGAAGTCTTAAACAGAATAAAATGACTGGAAGAAAATTAAAGTCGGGGAAACGGATCTATCACATATAAGACTAATGGTGCAGTAATAATTGATTGTTAAAACCTTGTTTTGCTTACCACACTGTGTCGATAATAAAATATTCATCATTTCCTTCCTCTTTTTCTGTTCTTGGCTTTGGAAAGATAGCGTATGCTCAAACCACTCTTAGCTTATTTCAGTAATCAAAGGAAACGAAATGGCTTTGGTAAGTATAAAAATGAATCACGCTGGTGGCATAACCCCTTATTGTTATATAATCTAAATTTATTTTCATGGTTTATCTTTTAACTTTATGTCTTTGGAATTAAGATACTGCCGCTTAAAAGCAACTATATATAACACCGAAGAAGAAAAGTGGTTGTGTTGCTTACTAATGATGTGTTTGGGGCACTCGCAAGTCCTTAGTAGGAATTGGTTTCAGAAATCCTGCGGTAATTTGTTGGAAAGAGGGTCAGACTTTCCTCGAATGATCAGCAGGTCTTCAGGAAGATTATAGGAAAAATGTAACAATAAGGAAAAAACACAATAAACTCCCTGGCTCAACTCCATTGAAGGAAAGTGCATTCTGCTTGGGTGAACTGTAGCTTAATTCCAGGATTATTTTTAAAGAAATGTAGTTGTCATTTTCATCTGTTTCTAGACATTGAAACTACTAAGCATGTGTACCAACGAGAGAGG